GGAAAACAATATAAAATTTATATAAAATTCATTAGTCTACTTGTCAGTCTTTCGTGTAATAAAGACTGATTGATTGTGTGATTCTATGTTGGGTTTTTTTTTTCTATAAAAAGGTCTGTTTGGCACAGTGCCTGTGTACCTCTGTTGAGTACCTATCCACAAAAAGTTTTGCTCACAGTTAATTACTCGTGGGTATACTACTGCAATAAAAATATTTAATATTCATAATCTTGGATCTGTTTTCAGTATGTTTTGTGGATATTTGAGTGACTTTCAAATACGTGAAATGACAAAACATGTCTTTACCACTGTGATCGCAGAACAGAGCCATTTTCCTGGCACCAACTTAATTGCTTTCATTTTACATACAAGATTCTTTTCCTGATGGATGCTGCTTCTCTGCAGCAGCTCAACATCACCAAAGTGCAGATACAAGGCTATAACCATTGCTTTGTGTGATATACTGGCCAGGTTGCAGTGTACATTGCCTTAAAATGACTAAGTTATTAAAATAGTGAACACTTCCCTAGTTAGCAACAACAGTTACCCTAATTACACTAGTGTAACTGAGAACAATTTATGTGTTCATTGAAATTATCTTGTGCCATGAAGCTTAAAGTAGAAATGTTAGGAAAATACACAATAATTGAAAATTGTTAGGTTTTGATTTGCCTTGCTCAGTTTCCAGATGAGCAAGAGATGCGATGAACACGTATTGCACCTAAAACCTAAGATTGTGGCTACAAACCACATAGGTTAGCCCTAAATATGCTTCCGGATATCTTAGCGACATGGTATGACTATAGTCTCTTTTCACGTACAAAGGATGATTTACCAAGAGCAGGTAAAACACAAGATTACTGAATTCTATCATTTCCCTTACAGAAGTAGCAATTTCATTTGCTTGTCATTGTCACTTGTCCTATAAAAATAAAAATCAGGGCAAGCGTTGCCCTGATTTTTGCAGGTTAAGTCAGTTGGCATGGATGCATGTTTCAAGAGACTTTATTTATTTCAGACTAGCTGCTGTCAGGTACTGTTGATAGCATGCCCAAGTAGTTGGAGCTTGTCTTCAAGTTTTACCTCATCTGAAAGGAACCTGTTCACTCTGCTACAGAACCGTTTGGTGATATAAAGCATGGGGGGTGGGGTTGAGCAGGAGATCAGCTTTAAAAGTGGTATCCTGCTCCAAAAAAAAACGCTGGTGCAGCCACATGCATATACCCGAAGGAGATGGATACAGGTGAAAAGGGAAAGTTATCAATATTGTAAACTGGGGAAGCCAAGTCATCTTGGAAGCTGGAACAAAACTACTGGAGGATGCAGAAAAACAGGAGGCTTGTGGTAATAAAAGGCAGTGGTCTAAATTCATCCCAGGCAACTTCCATCCCATCCCTAGCTAAGTCAATGGTCTCACTCTGATTTCCTTCTATGCATAAGCCAAAATGATTGAATTATTTATTGTAAGTAATCTTCTTCTTTCTTTGTGTTATGTTTATCAAATAAATTAAGCAGATGCATGCCACCATCCAGTGGAAAAAGGGCTTCACAGTGATACCTTATTTAGCAAATACATTTTGGGAAAAGTAGTATACCAAATGCTACTCCCCAGACTTTGCTCCAGCTCCACTCCAAGATGTCTCTTCACTTGTATAGAAACAGCCTTTTTTGAGCACCTCAGCTGCAGAAAGATAAGCCACATCATAACCACTGCTTTGCTGCAGTCATTTTCAGAGACGGCACTGATGAGTTATATTAGAGCCCACCCTATGCTAATAACAACAGATTATTCTATATTAGAGCTTTATGAGACAAAATACTCTGAATATTTGTATAGATTAGGAAAAAAAAAAACCAAACCAAAACCCAGCAAATTCCACTGCACAGATCTGCTCAGGAGTATGTGTTTGGATAACTCTTTGCTTAGCATCACCTTCATTGCTCGAGTCGGTCATTCATAGCCTGCGGAAGTGTTCCTGGAGACTTGTGCCAATGCCCACTTTCCTCAGACAACCCACATCTCTGCCCCTCCCTGCAAGTTTTGTCTTGTGACACCCATGTTCTGTGTATTCTGCTGTCTCATGAAATCCAGCTGTTTCAGTTGGTACTCCTTCAGCTTTACTATAATGTGTTTTTTTCTCAATTCTGATTCATATCAATCACTGAATATTTGAATTACTGAATAGTTCCCATTTTACTTATTTGTTTTGGTAATATTTAACAACATCTTTTATACCAGAAACATTTTTACTGAAAACATTTTTTTCACTATTAGTAGTATTATAATGAAGATAGGAGAAAAAAAAACCCACCATATATACTGGAACCTCTAGAATGTATGTCTCAGAAAGAATTCTGAATATACATATATATATATTTAAATAACTGCTTCTAGACGAATGTAGTAGAGCAGGTGAGGAAACACCTCACTTGTATTTATGATAATCAGATTTAACTCACAGATATTTGCTGGTGATGCAAAACTGCAATACAGCAGCCAGAAATGTTGCATAAAAATGATGTGACCTAATACAGTGAGTTCATAAGAAACATTTCCAAAATGAAATATGGGTATAATTGCTGACCAACGAGAGGCTAGCTGACTGCACAAATCCTGCTGTCTCTGCTGAGCCAGGAACGCATTCACTCTCTGTGTTCCTCCCAAGAGCATCATGTCTGAAGCTGCTATAATGTGCCTTCAGCCAGCACGAGGGGCTGGAGGAGCCAGTACTCCACTTTGCATCAGTGGAGGACAAGATATGCAGGCATAGCAGCACATAATCTCTCATCTTTGCTTATCTGTAGGGAGGATGATTGAGCATGCGTCCGCTTGGTAAATACAATCATACCAGAAAGTGGAATGCAAGAAGTACCAGAAGGCGAATGAAAAATCAGGGTGGAAGAAGCAGGACATGCCTGGATTATTCCCCCCAGTTTTAGCAGAATGCTTGTAATTTGCTTAACAAATGTGCTTATGATGTTGTTTTTTGTTGTTTTTTTTTTTTTAAATAATGAGAACATCTACCTCGTTAATTCTAAAAGGTTAGGGTTTGCTGATTGCTGCCTACTGTGGGAGGAACCTAAGAAAGAGGTTTCCTCTACCTTAGTAATAATTTTAGTCAGTGACAATACTGCCTTAAAAAAGTCCATATCCAATTCTGTGTTCATCACACGACCTTTGAAAAACTACTTGGAATAACTCTGAGTCCAGCCGTGCACAGAGAACTAAGAAATACCAGAACACAGTGAACATGCTGTTCCCAGAACAAGCTAAGTAACCTCTAAAAAACGCAGGGCTACTAAACAACACTTTAAATCTCTAAGTAAAACCTTACGGCTAAGTGGGACTAAATCTGTGCGCTCAAGCTTCGGAGCCCAGCATCTCAGCGACATGTTGCAGTCCGGGGAACCCGGACCAAGCTGTCAAAGTAGCCTATTGAAGAACCAAATAAACCAGCTGACGTCTCCGAGATGCTCCTGCCAATAGCCCCTACACGTGCGAGGGGATCATTCTCTTCCAGCGACACGTTCTCTTCCACTAGGGAAGCCTGCCCGTGCCACAGGACAAAACAAACGCCACTCACCCCAAGACTGGAGGGTTTGTTCCGGCTCCCTCCGGCTGCGGAGGGCGAGCCCTGGCGCGGCAGCAGGGGGCTGATAGCTGAAGCGAGGCGCCGCCTTCACAACGCGAAGTGGCTCTTGCTCAATCTGTTTTCCGTGACCTGGGTTTAATCAGGTTTAATGCCGGCCGGCCGGCCTGCCTGCGCTGGGACACCTGCCGCCGAAGCGGGAAGGGGCGGGCTGAAGAGGAGAGGAGAGGAGAGGAGGGGAGAGGAGGGCTCCTCTCTCCACCGCGGTGACACTGAGGTTTGCAGCCGGGAGAGGGTGAGGCCCTGAAGGCGGGAGCTGCAAAGGGGCGAGAGCCGACAGCGGCTCCGCGGCTGCCGCGCTTTCTAGAACGAAGCAGCGGGGCCCCCCCAGCTTCGGCCAGCCCCGGCAACGTACGTGCAGGCAGGCAGCAGCGAGGAGTCCTCTGGGAGCTGGCCCGTCCGTGAGGTGTCTCAGCCCGAGTGGTGCCTGCCGGGGAAGCCCAAAACAGGGCACAACGTAGGGGTGAGGTGAAATCTGTTTTGAGAGGTCAGCGTTTTCCCCCGCGCCTAGCGCGGATCGGGTTCTGACAGAGTGCCGTGCCCTCGAAGTTAAGCCGTGTCCCGTGGTCTAGTGGGTCTCCTGCGGCATCCCACCCTCCCTCCACCCCCGTCCCCTTCCCTGCAGCGCGGTTCCTGCGCCTCTGGGGAGCTGCAGCCCCTTTCCAGTGACACCCGTGAAGAACTTCAACGAGGAGTATTGGGAAATGATTTCCTGCCGTCGCTGGTGAGGTATGTCAGCGGTTCGCAGAAAAACGGCTGTCAAGATACTCTCGGTGCTGTAACTGCATCCCAGCCCAGCTCTCCAGCACCAGTTAGGTACGGCTCGGCAAAGAGGAGTATGTGGATTTGTTGTGATCGTTTTTCGTAGATCAAAACTTGATTAAGCCCTCTTGAAGAGGCAGAGTGTACCTTGCAGGTAATACAAGTGTTTAAGGTAATATGAATATATATATATAATGGTTTAAAATGCTCATGAGCTTATGTAAAAGAAATGGTGTGATGCTCCAACTTTCAGTTCTGAGAACAGGACTGTTGTGTATTTTAATCTGTCTGTATTTTTGAATAGGACATTCGAAAAACAAGTGCCACGAATGTGCAGAAATCAGTGAAAGGCGTGATGCTTCAAAGTTCTGATGAGATGTGTGATTTTGTTTTAATTGCCCAGGTGAACTTCAAAAGCAGTAGAGAGCAGAGGAAAAGGTGGCTGTACCAATTTAATGATGGCTTTGAATAGTTATGCTTTATTATGTGCTGTCATGAATGCTGTAATTGTCATTAAGGTGCATCTATCATTGAAGATCTCTTCCAGGCACTTGTCTTCTCTCTCTCTTTTTCTTTTTTTAATTAAATCTTATATTGATAAAAATATTTCCTTTCAGGGTGAAGCTTTATGAACATGGCCTCAGATACATGATACATGGAGCTTTTTCCTCTCTGGAAAATACGGGCAAAGATAACACCAACTGAGTTCTGTCCTGAGTGATAAAGTTCTGCAAGTTGATTGCAGGCTCAAAATGTGGACAAAATGGCTGGGAAAAGGGAGAAATGTACTCGTTTACCATGGCAGAATATGGTACGAAAAGCATTTGCCCATAATATTTGTTATTTTCATCATCAGTTATGTGAATGCATGCAAAGAGCAGAGCCTAATTTTGCCGTTGGGTATACCTTCTGCAGGTATAACCTGATGAGGTTTTTTTCATCAGGAAAAGTAAGACAAGAAGGAATCTCCTCCTTCAGGAACAGTTAATGTGTGTGGTTTTACACAGGGCTTTGTATATTTGCAAGTCTTCCATGTTGGCAAAAGGACAAGTTCTAAGTTTAAATAGATAGAAAGAACATTGAATTTATAGAGAAGTAGGTTTCTGGAAGACTTTCCTTCAGAACATGGCAAAGTAACTGCTGCTGCATCTCCTGGATCTAATGCTGGGGCAAAAAAACCTGCTTGAGAGCATGTGTGAGTCAGAACACTAGAGTAATGCTGTAATGGAACAGAGCTAATGAAAAACCAGTGATACGGAGAAGTCATAAAGAAAATGCCTAGTTATAAATGGAGTTTGTTCAGTCCTGGTTTCTTTTTAAATTATTTCTATTATAATGTTTTAATCTCCTTTAAAATTGAAAACCAGAGGTTTTGAGAGTTACTGTCTGTGACAATTAGTGACGAAAGCTGGAGCTTTAGTACAAACGCCCATAACCCCCCTCCAGCAAACTTAAAGGTTTATGTATTTCTGCTTATGTTCAGCATTCTTGCAGGGACTTATTCCTTCTTGCAGCTAGGCAAGAGAAGACCTGCCTGGTAATTTGAATGGCATTTGCAGAGGAGAAGGGAAGAGAAGGGGAAGAAGGAAGAAAGCAGGCTCTGCAAGAAGCAGTGTAGATGACTCAATATATGGCACACTTCTGAATCAGTTTGGTGAAGACACAGCAGCCGGAAGTGTCGTCTTTGACTGTTGTAGAAATTGGCGATCAGCTGAAGATTCTCACAACAGGATGGGATTCTCTTATCCTTCAGTTTGAATAAATGCATTTGTCCTTTCACAGTGCTGTAAAAACTGGTAGGCTGAATAGGGAGAAAAAAAAAAAAAAAAGTAAGGCAGGCCAAATGAAGGAAAAACTTGTCAGAGGCATGCAACTAATAGATCCTTTTCTAAAAAGAGTCTGGAGAGCCAATAGACAATTTGGGTATAAAAAAAAACCCTATGGGTTAGGCTATGGGAAGATATGAGCATAGCAAGGAAAACAAAAAAATTTTGCGTTTGTGTTCACCTTGGAAGAGTGTGGATTTCAGTACCTTTTCTTATGGCTTGTCTTCCATGGAATGATCTGTCTCAAATTGAAGAGTCGGTACTGGCAGTTAGAGAACAAAATGATCTGTAATGAAGCACCACGATCGGCTAAAACTTTTGTGTTCTGTTGTTGTAAATGTCTCATTTAAAGCAGCTTTGGGGCCAACAGATCAGAAAGTGATTAGTGGGTTATTTATCCTCTCCAAGTAATCAAAAGAGAGCCAGGAAAATAGAGACAAGTGAGTCTGGTATTTGCAGCAGGCAGCTGGGTAGACACTGCTTTAAAGAACGAAACCAGTGGAAATGAAGGTAAATTATGCAGGGAAGGAGTCAACAGTGACTTTTGTAAAGGGATGTCATGGCTCTCAAATACTAGAAGTGTGTTAGAATTGTACACGTATGCGATTACACTGGATACAGGAGACATGTCTGATTCAGCAGTCTGTAGCGCCTGTAATGAAGGCAAACTGCCATAATGTTTTTATTCTCACCTGTATGTGTAAGTAGGTAAAAGATGAATGCTCAGTTTTTCAGATGGAGTAAGATTGCTAATAGAGTCCCAAACAATCCTCTTCTGCTCAGCGTATATTTCTAATGATCTAGACAGATGGAAAACTGGTGCAGTAGCAGAATTTGCCAATATTACAAAGCTATTCATGTTAGAACAATGGGGTGGCAGAAGGATGTCATGGTAGTGAATCACTGGGTAATAGTGGCAGAATAAATTTGTTGTAGGTAAATGTAAAGAAAATTTAAAATGAAAATATATGAGCAAAATCCTGTGTTTAGCAGCTGTCTGCGTTTACCTGATTTTTAACACTCAGTGATGAGAACTTGGGGTTTCGCTACATAGGCCTGTGGAAATATCAGGTCAGTACTCAGTAGAACTTAACAAATAGATTGTTAGAAATTATTGGGGGGGGGGGGAGGGGAATAATTGTTTTAACTTGTAGATCTGTAGTGCAGTTATGTTTTGAAAACTGTATGCAAGTTCTGTTCTCCCCTCCCCACCTCAGACAGCCTGTAGTGTAACTGGAGACAGTACAGAAAAGGGTGGCAAAGACGGTCAGAAATATGAAATTAGATTCCATCTAAGGGGCAGTTAGAGTAAAACTGTAGCTTGGGAAAGCAAGAGCTCAGGAGTGTGCTAGAGATGTAAAAAATCCTGAGTACTCGACAAGCTGAATAGGAAATGTTCACTCTTTTTTTTTGTTTTCTTGTAATGATTAAGAGCTGTCAAGCTAAACAAGCAGGTAACAGGCTTAAAACAAGCGAAAGACAATTCTTATATTTCCTGTATTAACTGTGTATTGCAAGCATTGACTTTAAATTGTGGAAGCCACTAATTGAAAGTTTTTTCCATTTCTGCAGGGAAACATGAGAGCAAAAACATTGGGTTTGTGTAATATCAGAACTGCCTTTCTGTTTCTAATTATTGCAGGTAAGTTTGTTGGTGGCTACAGAGGGTCTTGTTCTGAATTAACTCACACAAGTAACACTAATTTTCTGTGAAAATGGCTGTAAAAGTAAATTTATGTGCATGCCAATGAGTCTTTTAAACAGTCCTAAAAGCAGGAACCTGTGAAACATAATATGTGCTATTTTGTGTGCTATCTTATCACAGAATCATTCAGATTGGACGCGAACTCTTGAGATCATCTAATCCAACCTGCCTGACCTGCCCAGGGTCAGTTAGAGCAGGGTGCCTGATATCATGTCCAGTTAGATTTTGATTATCTCCACAAATTGAGACTCCACAGCATCTCTGAACAACTTGTTCCAGTGTTTGATCCCCATCACAGTAAAAAAGTGTTTCCTTATGTTCAGATGGAATTTTTCTGTGTTTCAGTTTGTGGCTGGCTCTTTGTTTTTCCTTCCCTACCGTCAGATATTTACATGTATTGGTAAGATCCACCAGTACACTCCCTAGGCCTTCTCTGAGCTGAACAATGTCCCTGCTCTTTCAGCCTCTCATGTGAGAGATGCTCCACTCCCTTAATCATTTTTGTGGCCCTGTGTTAGACTTTCTCTAGTGAGGCCACTGGCAGGTACAACAGACAAGGATTTACCAGTGCTGAGTAGAAGGGAAGGATCACCTTGGACCTGCTGGCAGGTTCTAATGTAGCTCAGGACACTGTTAGCCTCTTTTTCGCCATGAGGGAGCGTTGATGGGTCATGTCCAGTTTGCTGTCCGTCAGGACCCCAGTGGTGTTCTCTGCAGATCTCCTTTCCATCTGAATAATCTCTAGCATGTGCTGGTGTCTGGGGTCATTCCTCACCAGACGCAGGACTTTTGAACTTAACAAATTTTCTGTCTGCTCAGTTCTCTGGCCTGTCAGGTCTGCCTGAATGGCAGCATGATTCTTTGGTATATAAACTGAAGAAATGACTTGTAGTTAGTAGAATGTGTGCTTAGGATTCACCAATCCATTGGATAGTCTGTTTTTTTGTGAAGTAATCTTTTGGAAAATTTGTTATTGGCTGCCCTCCCTGCAGTAGCAGAGACCAGTAGCTAGGCAGGTGAGGGAAAGTTTACTTTGCCAGTTCTCACAAGAAATACATGATACCCAGAGAAATAATGAAAAGCAGTGAATGGTTTTTCATGCACAACATAAGAGGAAAGAGACCAAAACCAAAGTATTCCTCTGCTTGTTGTGTTCTCTTTTTTTCTTACACGTTTGCTACGGGTTGTTATCAGAGACAGGATTTTGGGCTAGACAAACACTTACATGACTCTGTGTGGCTGTTATGACATTCTAATCAAACCAGAAATTGTAGATAAATACAATACTGACTCAGAACTGTAGCCATGGTATCTGGAGTTGGTGCTTTTTTTGTCATACTCCCATATGAATCTCCTTGTGTTAGAAGGAAAGGAAATGAGGTCATTGATAAGTACATGTAATAATTCCTGTCTAAATGCTCATAAATTGAAGGGTTAGTTTAAATTTCCATAGCAAAGTTAATATTTGTACAACAACTTTAACTTCAGTGTTCATTTAGGACATGTGGGTACTGAAAGCATCCTCTGTCTTGAAGGCTTACTTTGACTACGGTTAAGTGAAATTAGCAAAGACCTTGAATGTGAAATTTGTGTGTGCATGTGTGTATGTATGTGGGCATGAAACGGGCTGGAGAAATACAGGTTCTTCAGTAATTTACATCTGAACTAAAACATAAAAATAGCAGTCTACTGCAAACAAGATTCTACACAAAGTTTGTGTTCAAAAAACTTCCAGTGGCATAACTTTCTGCATATCACTGAGGCGTATTTTAAACTGTAGAGATAAGGGATTATAATTGTATTTTTAGTAGATGGCTTTAGAATGGAGGTGAAAACGCCAATAGACTTTGTAAACGTAATCAAGAACTGAGTTCAGTATATCCTTTTACAGTGTTTGAGGTTTTCTTAAATCTTTGTTTCTTCCCTTTAGAGAAATGTGAAGCCTATGATGTGATGTTGAGGCAAAGTCTTGTGCTTAATGGGCAGCCTCTTGCTATTAAATGTTCGCTCGAAAAGAGCTTGAGAAGTGAAGACTACAACTTAACATGGTATAAAGTTGGTAACCAGACAGCTGTACCCAGAGACAAACTTTCTAGAATTCATCAGCAGAAGAATTTAATTTGGTTTCTTCCTGCAATGTTAGAAGATTCTGGAGATTATGAATGTGTCATAAGGTGAAAGTTTTTTAAAAAAAATACATTGTTACTAAAATGAGTTGTAAAGGGAATAACTTTTATAAAGAAAGTAGAATTTGGAGGGTAAGAGAAATACTGATGGAGAAAGGAGATTGTATTTGCAAAAAGTAACTTTATGTTGGGGAAAGTAAGTCTAGTTTTGGGTTCTTTTTCCTAGGAGACAAAGACAAGTCTATTAGAAAATCTAAACTTCTCATTTTCTCTTTCTTCTCTAAAAAGACTACCATATACTTTTGAGTGGGAAAATATGCCAAATAGGTTAATTTAATTATGCTATATCAATTGCAGGAACTTGACAAGCAGCTGGAGAATGTGTACAAAAGTGACAGTTTTTGAGAGGACTGATGGTTTATGCTTAAATGAAAAATTTGCTGTAGGGGAATTGATATTTACATTATCGTCTGCGAAGGTTGTGTGTCCACATTTGGATCGTTTCAGGAATGAGAAGAATTTTCAACCCGTTCGTTGGTACAAGGTGAGAATGCTGTGGCTTGTGCTGTCTTTTAACTGTCCATTGTTTAAATAATAAATCACTGATGTTTGTGAATTGTAGGAGAGAACAAAGAGATTTACTGCAAATACTAGAAAAATTATTTGAAAACAAACTGGAAGAGGATTAAGACTTTTTACCTTTTAAAAGTATATATAGTTTTTTTTTCTTAATGGAGTAGAAATTCAGCATTGATGTGGGAAAGCTGTTGACCACATATCCACCAGGTGGCATCTTTTGGCCTGCTATCGAAAGACCCTGTCATGATTTTTTTTTTTGTGTGTGAACAGATTTAGAATGTCATTTGTGAGAGATGGCATATCCATTATGTGCTCAATATTGTTCCATTAAATAAATGACTTTTCATATTGTTTACACTTATTTAAAGGCTATTTACATTATAAGGAGGTAGTGCCTTCTGCAGCCTTCTGCCTCATTTAAAAAATTAAGTCTAATTATTAAGTGATTCTTCATTAGTGAATACTTTTACAAATTCTGATGCTTGCTTTTTGCTTGCTTATTTCTCTAATATTAAAAGTTGTTTTCTATGGGACATGAACTTAGAGTATCTTTGAATTAAAACTCAGAGCCAAAATGAAGTATGGTTTGCTTTTGATTCCACTGTCGTTGCTCTTTATCAGCCTCTGCAAGGCATCCATTGTTATGGTGTGATCCACTGAAAGTTCTGCTTCTGTTAGCGATAAAACACAGAAAGACATAGTGATATGAAATAACAGAGTTTTCTACACATGTTTAGGACTGCCAGCTGCTGGAAGGGGAAAGGTTTGCCTTCTCAAACAGCGATCTTATCATTTTCAATGTGACTGTACAGGATCAAGGAAACTATACATGCGAAACAACATATACCTACAATGGGAAACAGTATAACATTTCACGAGATGTCAATCTGACTGTAGAAGGTGAGTAGGTAATTTCACCGTGTTTATGAAAATTTTGTCCAAGTTTCTCAAAACTAAAGCTTAGAAGACCCATACTTAGGGCTACTAGTTTCCACTTAAATGTGAGGGAAGGGAATGCTGTCTGAGAGTTTATGTATTGTTTGGAGTACAGAAATGGAATTTCCCCTTTAGTAGAAGTCTAAAATAGATGAATACTCTGAACGTATTTGGCTCCAGTTTGTAACTGTGGGGTGCTGGGTCACAGGCTATCCAGACTGTAGAGGAATGATACTCTAGATACTTACCTGTACCCTCAGCGCCTGTGCATGCAATATTTACAGGATTTTTATGCCACAGAACAGCCAGTCCACCGTGAGTGTGTGGAGATTGGGAAGAGGTGAAGAATAGTTTAGCTTCAAGTCAGAAGTAACTGACTACCTGAGATACAGGGGAGATTTAGAATCATAGAATCAACTTGGTTGGAAAAGGCCTTTAAGATCATCAAGTCCAACCTCTACCCCAAGACTGCCAAGTCCACCACTAAACCATGTCACTAAGGGCCCCATCTATGCGATACAGGTTTACACCTGTGCTCACAGCTCTGCTTTTCCTTTCTGCCACCTTTCTTTGTCCTATCAGTCCTTCCTGGGCCTTTGGCCTAGGGGTGAGCTGGCCAGTGGCCAGATGCCCCTCAGCCTGTGGCTACCAGTCTCTCCTGCTGGAAAGAGAGGAAAGAGAAAGAAAGCAAAAAAGATGCTGGGATGAAGACACTCCAAGGAGGAAAAGCAAAACTGGCCGTGCCGTCCCAGCCTATGTGGACTGAGGGGATGGAGAACGAAGAAGCCCTCGATGCGGTGGGGAAAAGGGGAATTCGAATCTAGGACGCTAGAAATCAGAAACAGCTCTTACAGTTGGCACTCCCTTTCTGCCACCGGAAATTCCCGGTGCGGAGAGAGCACAGCACACCCTACAGTCCGCACACCGCCCTGCGCCCCATCTCGCTGGTACCCACCGATAAGCACATCACCTCCGAAACCACGGCACGCCCACCCCTCCACCCTTTACTATGAGGGTGATGCGGCACTGAACAGGTTGCCCAGAGAAGCTATGGCTGCCCTGTCCCTGGCAGTGTTCAAGCCCAGGTTGGACGGGGTTTTGAGCAACCTGGTCTAGTGAAAGGTGTCCATGCCTGTGACAGGGGGATTGGAACTAGATGGTCTTTAAGGTGCCTTCCAACAAACCATTCTGTGATTCTGTGATAGAATTCTTTTAATAATTGAGTAATGTCTGTTATAAAATTGCTGACAACCTTGTTCACAGGACAGGGTGAGATTTTTTTCCTTTTTTTTTTAGTTTGTACTTGGGTTATAGAGCATAGAACGAACTGCAAGTGCCCTGGGTTTTCTGAAAAGCACTTTCTTTGTTTTTCTTGATTAGTGAGCCCACCAAAAAAGCCCCCTGAAATATCTTACCCAAGAAACAACTCCATTGAAGTGGAACTTGGTAAGTTGCTTTTTCTGTAAGAAAATATGATTTTTGTATCCTAGTGAAAGTTTATACTGAGTGCCATGTTTTGTGTTTTCTTGGGTTTTGACACAAACTAGTTCAGTGACCAGTTCAGTTTCCCTATGTTGACCTCCTGAAGGAGGGATGTTTGGGAGTGAGAGCGACAAGGCAAGTTGCTTACAAAGTCCTAGGGAAATTTATCAGATACAAGGAAACCTGTAGGGAACCCAAGTATTCTTTGTCACATCTGTTGCTTTCTATCTCTCTGGAAGAGAGTTTAAGGATGGATCCATCTTTGAGTCTGCAGGGAAAATGATGCCGCATAGAGGGGCATCTTCTTGTTGGATTTAGTCTCTTCCATCCTACCAGTCTCTTTCTGAACCTGCAAATCACTGAGTATATAGATTCTATATACTTAATCTAATCTTAGATCCAATCTATACTTAATCTAAAGTATAGATTAACTTTTCTGAATGGGTGTGGGGGCATCTTTAGTTGGTCTGTGTGAGGGTCTGTGAACAGGATTGTATAGGGTTTAATTAGATTATGAAAATTAACTTTTCACTTTGTAACACAATTTTATAGGCTCACAGGTTACAGTGGATTGCAATACAACAGGTGCTGATGGGTATGAGGTGTTTTGGACAAGCAATGGTGTGTATATTGATGTATTTTTTATGAACAGAATTTTTGCAAGTCCCTATGAGTAAGTATATTTTCAGATTAGAAAATACTATGTTGGCAACCAAAGTGGAACTTTCTGCCTCTGACATTAAAATATTTAACAACAGTTTTCATTTGCTTAAATAGCTTTCTTTTTAAAAATTTTAATGCTTGCCTCTTCCAGTTCACTTTATGCTTTAATGCAGAAACTTGAAACATAGTAGGTACATGGCCTAAAAAAATCTAGTCTAGTAAAAAAATCTGTCTAAATTTCCAACCTCGAGAAAAGGTCTTTGTATACTTATAGTCTCATAACTGTATTACAGGCTCTGGCCTGGCAGAGACATCTTACAGTTGGATCAAGCATGTCCACACACATGATCTTCAGATTGTCTCTTTCCTCTGCCTTCTTTCACTTCCCATCTGCCCCTCTGAAACATTGCAAAGGGCCAGATCTTTACAGGAGAAATTGAGACTTCCAGATTTAAGAGCCTTGGGTTAGAGAAATGTAACTGAGAGCAGCTGAAATGTTAATTAAAGACTTTGTTGAGGATATTTGTACTGAAGCTTAGTGGGGTGAGAGGAGAAAAGGGAGACAGATTTCCAGTGGTGAGTTGGGGTTTGGGAGGAAAATGGATGTGGACTGAGTAAAGTATGAGAAAGGCAACTGGGCGATAAATTGAGGGTGGTGAAAAGCAGATTAAGTGGAATTGGGAGAGAAGAAATTAGACTTGATTTGAAAAAGCAACTAAAATTGGAGCAGAAGGAAATCTGCATTTCTTAAGTATGACAGGTTGGGAACTAAAAATTGTAGTTTTTTTGTCAGCTCCCATCTCATGGTTGTTCTATGAAGATAAAATGTGATCATTTTTGCAAATTCTCAAGCACTATGTATGATCAAGAAACTGGCGAAGAAATGGGAATGATATGTTGAAAGTAAGAATATAGTTGTGAGAAATAAGTCTTCATCATAAAACAAAGGGGGGGAATAAAATGCTAAATTGAGTGCTCACCAAGAGAAAATCTTATACAAACCTATTGTACTGTCATAAAGAATTGCAGTGTTATTAGGTCATAATGCAGAGGCACATGGTCCCTGAATTGATACCATAAAAGCAGTGTTAGTTTTTGTACTTCCTAACATTTAAATAGTCATCTTTGCAACCATTAGTCATTCGCATTAGTGATATTTATTAATTTGTTTTCATTTGTTTAAATTACTGTGACTTTTTGCTTAGAAAGTGATTAGTGTGGTTCTATATACGGCCTTTAAGATATATTTCTAGCTTTTATTTTGCATTTTAAGTGATAACTAGTATATGTTTTCAGGAAAGTATAGTGCTTGGCTAAATAGCTGGCTAATTTTGCTTTTGAAATCTCTTGTTAACAAGATAGTGGAATCCCTCATTTTCCTGGTGGTTAAGAAGTTGTTAAGGTCATAGATCATGGTACATGAATGTTCAGCATAATGAGCATTTCTGTGTCCTTGTGCAGTGTATGGGGGATAATAGGTGTCTCTTAATAATGAAGCCTGGCACTAGCTGTTACAAGTCCTTTCTGATCCATGGGGTGAAGCAGCAGTTTAGATGCCACTCCCTGCAGCTGAAATAGCACTGAGTTGCTGATGTCTGCTGCAGGTCACCACTTTTGATGTCCTCCCTATCCCAAAGCTGCTTACCACAAGATGACGCCTCTTTTCTGTGTCACATAGCATTGTGGAATTTCTCTCTCTCCACCTACTCTTATAGGGGCTGGGAAGCCTGTAACAAGGGTTTGCTTAGGTTTGTAAAATATATTTTTGTACTTCAGGCTATAGAAATCTTACATTCTTTGGGGAACAACCGCTCCAGATAAGTTAACATCTCGATGTTTTCCAGTGTCAATGCTAAGTGTCAGTAGGAGGCCCAACTGTTGTTTGGCTTTCCTTCCTATAATGTAATTGTTCATCTGTTCTGAAGTGTGGTTGACATTTGCAGATGGAGACAACCATTGTCATGCTGCAGCTGTTAGTGATGAAGCCATTCCAGAGAGGGCTGTAGTTTTATGGCTCTATCTGTCACCTTTTGGATAGGGAGGAAACTTCTCATGATGGACGCCCTGTGCATTCTGTGACGCTAGTAATTTTGGAAGTGAATAGTGAAGATTATGAAACACCGTTTGTCTGCCAAGGTTCAAATGCCTTTGGGCAGGTTGCATCCTATATTATATTAAAACGCAGAGGTAAGAAATGCTTTTGTTCTTGAGGCCTGTGTTTTTCTTGACTTCCCCAGAAGAGGTTTTGATATCAGATGCTTATATCTCATGTTGGTAGAAGACAGATGAATTAGAGTTTGCAGTATGCATGCATGTATCTGTGCATGTGGAAGGAGTCACTGTAGTAGTGTATTTGTCATTATTAAAAATATAGATAAATGGAAGTGAAAAAATGATACTCAAATTTATATTACGCTTGTGTGAAATATCAGACTTGGACAAATTTGACATTTAAAAACCAATCTTCTTATATTTTCATGCAGCTCCTGACATACAGAGGTGGCTGACTGGAGGCCTTCTCTCTCTGTTAATTTTAACATTTACCGCTTTCATAATCTACAAGATCTTCAAGATTGACTTGGTGCTTTGGTACCGTAGTTCTGTCTGTGCTTTTACAAGTAAGGAAGGTATGTGAGTGTGACCAGGTATGTTTGTGTAACTAGCATACTGACTTTTTCACATGCCATTACTTCTAAGCAATGGGATTATTTAGTAGAATGTATGTGCAATTTCCTTGAGGAATTTTCAGATACCCACAAAGACATTTTGGGGTGGGGGGGGGTGGGATTTTTTCATTCATATGAGTAAAATACATAATCATAGCTGAGGTAATAAACACTGCGTAATGTGGAGGGCAGTCATGGCAAGATAAGTCAAAAGGAACTTCAGGTTGTTCCTGAATTAGCATGTTGCTTTTTGCTTTTCTATAAAGTAGTTTCTTTATATGTAGTTTTCTGGTCACTCTGATGATGATCAATAGGTGTCAGCAGAGCTGCATCCTGTAAACTAGCTGTTTAAAGATATGCATTATATTTTATATTATATTGAAAATCAGACTTATTTTCTCAGAGTTTAATTTTTCTGGCTTTGTTTTTAATTATTTTTTTTTTCTTTTTTCCCCCAACTTCTCTCTCTTGCTCCTTTCCTTCTAAATTAGTTAGTATATTTACATGGCAAAGAGAGAAAATGCTACTATTATTCTTATGTGTTTTGATTGCTGTGTTGGATACTTATATTGCACATATGTGAAAAAAAATGGAATAAGTGCAACATTACAGATATTTTGCATGGCAGTGCTCAGAATTAGGCTGTCTGAAGTTCCCTATAGCTTGAAAGTAAATGAATTCCATGCACTGGGATAGTTGATGTTCACCCATGGCTGTTCTAAATGCTTTCACAGAAAAGGAGTTTCAGCTTCCGGTTGAAAGTTCAGTCTTCCCAGAACACTTTAATAGGATTCTAACGAAAAAAAAGAAAAAAAAACACCAACCAAAGAAACTGTGTTTTGTAGCTTGTTGAGCTAAACTTAACTTGTTGAATTAAATCTGATTTTGGTTTGTTTTTTTTAATTTCTGTTTATTATGCAATTTAACTCCCAAAACCTCTGCTGCCTTCTGGCCTTTTCTTCTACCTGCCTTTCCCCCACAGAATTATTACAGGAAAGAATTGCTGTTTTCTCTTGTGGTTAATCAGAAGTGGAGAGTGATTCCTCTTGAATTTGTTTCAGGAGAGGGTGAAGAAAGTCCTTCAAGAAGACACTTTCCTAATGTCCTGGCACCTCTGGGGTGGGGGGCTTCTTCTTGCATGTCCCAGGTCCTGCATCCGTCTTACTTGCTGGCGCGTCTCTCCTTGTGATGGGAAAAGAAGCCACATTCTGTGACTGATAGTCCTTTGATTTGTAGAGCATTTTAGTGGTTTGATGCTATTCTGTCAAACAGATCATCTCCCCCCCCCCCCCCCCGGCTACTTTTTAACAGCCCAAAATAAAACCTTCCAATAAAGATATGTTGCTGATTTTTAGGTTTGGAGTTTTTGTTTGTTTAGGATTTTTTTTTGTTGTTTGCTTGTTTTTTTAATAGAAACATTTGTGTTTGTTTTAGATGGGAAAGTCTACGATGCATATGTCCTGTACACAAAAAGCAGTGGAAGCAGAAGTTTCTATCACTTGGAAACCTTCGTTCATAGAATACTTCCTGATATTTTAGAACAACAATGTGGATATAATCTCTTTATATTGGGAAGGGATGATTTACCGGGAGAAGGTATCCTTTAATTAGTAGAGCTTAATAATTGGTCTTTTGACACATTGTTCTCAGGTTAAAAGATTACATATGCAGTTTTAAAAATGCCTGGTTTTGGAAAACAAAGCTGTATTTTTTTTCAATGGATAATTTGTCCAATGAGCAATTTTTTTATTTTTAAGTTTTTAAGTTTCTTACCAAAAATTCTGTTCTGCTGTTATGAGAGTCTGCACTTTCTTTTTATTGATGAACAGATGAGGATTCAGCTGCGTTATTAATAACATTGTTGAGGTTTTTTTGAATGGTATCTGCTCCTGGGAACTGAAGAAAACCATTTTTATCAGTAATTTCATGCAACAGGTGATGAATCATGAATGACAGTGTGGAGAGCTTAAACATACCAATACTCTGATTTAGCTACTGCTCCATATATATGCAATTTTAAAATTTAGAAAGAATTTACAGCATTTGTAAAGTTTCTATGCAAACTTTGATTGTTCCTTCATTGCTTCCAGCTGTGGTCAGTGTTGCTGATGAAATCCTTAAGCAAAGCAGAAGACTGATGATTATTTTGGGATCAGAAACATCTGGTTGCTGCCTATTAGAAGATACCACTGAGCAACAACTAGCTATGTATAATGCTCTCATCCGTGATGGGATTCAAGTGATTCTTATAGAAATGGATGAAATACCGGACTATACAAGCATGCCGGAATCAATCAGATACATTAAGGAAAAACATGGAGCTATCCGATGGAAAGGGGACTTCTCAGAGAAATCTTGTTCAGCAAATACACAATTCTGGAAAAATGTGCGGTATCAGATGCCATCTAAGAAAAAGATATCTTACTCTGAAGTGTATTTGTTGCCCCTGACTTTGAACCATTCTGCAGCAAAGGGAAATTAAGATGTACTTATTAAAATAGTACTGAGGAGGTAATTTTGAAGTGTGTATTTTGTCTGGGGACTTTGGTTTGGTTTTGTTTTACACAAATTCTTTATATTAAAAAGTAAGTATTTTCTTCAAGGAGTAAAAACTACAGCTCTCTTCCCCAGATTAAATCCTAAGAGAAAAGCTCTGTGCAACCTTACTGCTGTTCTGGGTTTTGGGTAGTGACACAGTTTGTTGTGTTACTCTCAGGCAGGTATGAGAAGCAAAGGTTGCCGATAGTGGTAGACTGTTAAATAGTTGTGGCCTACATAAATGTAAGAGCCACTGATGAAGCAGCTGCAAAATCAATTATTTAAAATTGAAACTGCATTTGATAATTTAATCTGTTTCTGTCAGCATTTTCCTAGCTGTTTTGTTCCTTTTCTTGTTGCCTCTTTGTGATTCTCTGAATTCCTCATAACTGCAAGAACCTTCACTGTGCAAGATTTGAGGTCCCCTCCTGAGCAGTAGGCCTTATCTTTGCTTCTTGAAGGCACTGGGGAATTACATGATATAGCAGGTATATTTAAAACTCCTCACAACACTAAATGTGTTTCAGCTAAACAGTTGGTACCAAATGTGTTTAGCAAATGGAATGGTATCCATGGCTTTTTAGACATTTGTTGAATAATTCTGTGATATCTGGTCTATGGGGTGTTTCTAAACTTGGTCTCTTGAAATGGTCAGGAAACTGAAAATACTCCTTTCAGGGTTCCAGCATTGAAGAATCATAGAATAGTTAGGGCTGGAAAGGACCCCCAGATCATCAAGTTCCAACCCCCTGCCATGGGCAGGGACACGTCACACTAAACCATATCACCCAAGGCCTCGTCCAACCTGGCCTTGAACACCACCAGGGATGGAGCATTCACAACTTCCCTGGGCAACCCATTGCAGTGCCTCACCACCCTAACAGGAAAGAACTTCTTCCTTATATCCAATCTAAACTTCCCCTGTTAAAGTTTTAACCCGTTACCCCTTGTCCTGTCACTACAGTCACTAATGGCTAGTCCATCCCCAGCATCCCTATAGGCCCCCTTCAGATACTGGAAGGCTGCTATGAGGTCTCCACGCAGCCTTCTCTTCTCCAGGCTGAACAGCCCCAATTTCCTCAGCCTGTCTTCATACAGGAGGTGCTCCAGTCCCCTGATCATCCTCGTGGCCCTTTTCTTTACCTTTTCCAACAGTTCCATGTCCTTTTTATATGGAGGACACCAGAACTGCACACAATACTCCAAGTGAGGTCTCACGAGAGCAGAGTAGAGGGGCAGGATCACCTCCTTCGACCTGCAGGTCATGCTCCTTTTGATGGAGCCCAGGATACGGTTGGCTTTCTGGGCTGCGAGCGCACGGTGAAGCTGGCTTATGTTCATTTTCTCATCAACCAGCACCCCCAAGTCCTTCTCTGCAGGGCTGCTCTGAATCTCTTCTCTGCCCAACCTGTAGCTGTGCCTGGGATTGCTCCGACCCAGGTGCAGAACCTTGCACTTGGCATGGTTAAACTTCATGAGGCTGGTACCAGCCCACCTCACAAGTGTATCAAGGTCCCTCTGGATGGCATTCCTTCCCTCCAGCGTATCAACCGAACCACACAGCTTGGTGTCATCGGCAAACTTGCTGAGGGCACACTCAATCCCACTGTCCATGTCAGCGACAAAGATGTTAAACAAGACCGGTCCCAACACCGATCCCTGAGGGACACGACTCGTTACTGGTCTCCAGCTGGACATGGAGCCATTGACCACAACTCTTTGCATGTGGCAATCCAGCCAGTTCTTTATCCCCTGAGTGGTCCATCCATCAAATTGATGTCTCTCCAAGAGTATCATCTGAATGCAAATGTGAATTCTGCTTGCCTTTTCTTTTTTTTTTCTTTCCAACCCAAACCATTCTCTGAGTCTATGGTTTAGTATGACTGTGTAGGCATTTTAATATTGTGTGAAAATGAGTGTGGGAGAAAGGTTTCAGTTATTGTGGTTGATTGTTAGCTAACTACTTGAATGTAGCGTGACATGGAGTGGCTTATCCTTTTATCATGGGACTTTATTTTAAAGTTGAATTTTGTTTCTGTTTTCTCCCCTTGGAAGCTTTTTTTTGCCGTTTACATAAGAAAGCACACTACTTTTTGTGGTAAAATAAAAAATCCCATAGAGGCAGATGTGATGATTGCTGTTTATTAAAAAAACCTCCACAAACAATTAGGTGGCAAGAGGTCTACTTCTGGAAACTTGATAGCTTCAGAAGGAAAAGGCAAATGCAGTGTAATCCACGGAAAAGTATTTATTCACCATGATGTAGTAGATACTTCCAGTTTATTGTCTATGCTGACAGAGAAGAGAGTCTGAATGGTATGTGGAGGATACATTGAAAACATTCTTTGCAACATCCTTTACTTTTCAACCATAACTGTATGGTATTACTTCTATTGGCTTGTTCTTGTCAATTTATTTGTTACTCCAGATTACCCCTTCCCTTTCTTGCCTTGTGATTAACTTGTTTCAAGTTTTCTCATTCCACTGTGTCTTTCCATCCATATTATGAGGCCAGGTTTTTTTCTGAGAGACTTTACTCCTTTCATAATTTTCCTCCCATATCCTGCTTTCTTACCCTTGTGGCAGCTAGGCCTGTTTCATGTTCTGATGTACACATCTGGTGACTGTATTAGTTCACGGATAGATGGTTATGTGACAGGAAAGAGCATGTGCATTGAGCCCAAACCCAAACCAAATTGTTACAGCCTGGTGGAATCTACACAATGGCCCCAGGCTGGACAGCCCTGACTGACTTTTTTTTTTCTTTTAGTCCTTTTACTTTACCTCTGTATTGCATCCTAGAGGGTAGAAGAGCACAAAGATGATTTTACACTTCCCCTTGGTGCCTTGAGCTTCTACTAGAGGGGGGAGCCTGTTCTGTCTTTTGTTGAGGCTATGGTAGTTTATCTACTGTACCTCCTTCCATAGCTGCAGTTAGCTTGAAGGTGAAGCAGGCAGAGTATAGTTAATGCTTATAAAATCTGGGCTAAGGGGAGATGTTTTTTTCCCTAGAAATACTTAAGGATGTATTACATTGTAGAGCTTCAGGATACAACCAAGTAAAACCAGTGGCTATCAGCTTTACTCCAGAGAACTCCCCAGATCTCTGGTTTACTCAATGGATGCTACACCACACGAGCACAGGAGCAGTAAACAGTTTCTTCCACTCATCCCTACGCTCATTACTCTTGAAACTAAAGGAGAAGAACACCACTTGATGTGTATGCTTGTTCTCTTTTAAGATGGGGTAATATTTACCAGGACCTGGTGCATTTGTTGAGACAAACTGAACTTAAGCCGCTAAAAGTGAGCTAGAAAGTAGTACAAACCACTTGTGTCCTCAGCACGCTCTAGGAGTGCTTTCCATGTTGAAACTGATTTGGAAAAAGGAGTCTGATGTCTGCTGGGCATCAGTGGGCATAGTTAAAAAGTACAGCTCATGTGTAGACTGTTTCTGAGAGACCACCTTGGTAGCTTTGGCATTACAGCTGGAGCTAGAGCTCAGTTTGGCAGTGATGGTGACTATCAGAGATTGGTATTTCACCCTGAGGAAAGGCAGAAAGTTCACCAAGTCATTAAGGTGAATTTTCTGCTCCAGAAAAGTTGGATTTTAATTGCTGCTACAGATTGGGTAATTTAGATATGTAAATTCTCTTTCTGGTTTATTTTTGCCCCCAGCCACTCATTTGATCTCGACCTTAATTTGAGCACGACAATGGGTATAGTAGAAGGGGAATTTTAATACTGTCTCATTAGTTTGGTTCGTTCTACTTCACTAAGTAGTTACCTTGATGGACTTTATTTCTGTTGGCAATTACTGAAATCTGTGGTCTCTCACTTATCTCGCCAGCAATATGTATCAGGGGAGTGCTTCCTTTTCCTGCATTGTCCATGGAAACATACCCCACTGCTGCCTCATGTCTCCTTTAATCTCTAATGCTGGTTTTGATGTTTTGCACTTTTTTTGCTTGCTTTATGTACTGTGAATACATACAGGTTCCCTGAAAGATGGGAATACATTCAGGTTCCCTGAAAGATGGGAAAGGTCACATTCAAGTCCTTAAGAAGGCATTTTTTATCTCGTTGAGCACATTGTTTCTAACCCCATGTTGTTTGTTTGGTTTCTATTTTTCAAATATGCATAGTTAACTATTTCTTCTATACCATGGAAGTGAGTGACTTGGCCAAGAAGATGAATTTGGAAAGAAATCTGATCTATCTACTCTTACCTCTCGCTCCTAGGGAAGCACACTCGGACTGTATCAGCTAGGTCTGTACCTTCTGAATAAGGTGTGGCACAGCTGCATCATCTCAAATGGAGCTCAGGGGAAGTGACAGGACAAATGCATCTTTGTAGGAGTAAAGTTACAGGCAGGTACAGGAGGCTACAAATTCTCCCACTTCTGAAGCGGTGAATAAGCAGGGTATTTGGGAGTTACAAAAAAAATCAGATTCATCTGTCCCTTTAAAACAGGAAAAAAATAATTGGCAGTTAACTTCTCTACATATTGCATCCAGGAACAAACAGTGAAAAAGCTAAAGAGCTGTCTTGACAGAGACACTCACAGTGGGAAAGAACTTGTGTGCCATATGTCCCTCTACCATCTGTGTACGCTCTCTTCTGGGTCGTGACATCTGGTTCTGCTTTGGTAGCTGGCTCCAATTCCTGTATTTTTTGAGTAAATGGGACTTGATTCTCCTCTGAGACTGAAGAGAATAGACCACACGCTGACTTCTGCAAGAAAAGCCAAGTTTTTCATAAAAATATGTCTCTGCAGCCTAGATCTGAATGGCTTGGTTCATGTATGTGTGTAAATGAGCCAAGGATGTGCCAGCACTGTCTGCTGTCACTTTTAAAAAGTTACTAACTTTGGTGTGTTTGACATTTTTGGAGGGTTGGGCCATAAAGTTAGCTGGGTACCTATATTAGGAGATGAACTGGCTTACCACTGAGGAAAAGATCATGTACA